CATTTTTGCATCTGATCAATAACATTTTCTCCTCGGGGTACTACCCAAAAATTTTTAAACAATCTGTTGTGTTACCGATTCATAAAAGTGGCGATAAAACAGATAAAAATAATTACAGGCCTATAGCCCTTTGCTCTGTCCTTAATAAAGTAGTTGAAAAAAGTATTAAAACAAAGCTGTGGGAATACCTTGAAGAAAATAAAATTATATCTCCGCATCAGTTTGGGTTTAAGCCAGGAGTAAGTACTGATAATGCACTAAATGAAGTCAATCACCTTATTACTCAGAGCCTAAATAAGAATCTTAAACCAATAGTGGTTTTTTTGGGCTTGAAAAAGGCGTTTGATACGGTTGCACACCCTATTCTACTCAAACGCTTTGAAAGTATTGGAGTTCGTGGCGTAGTACATATAGTCTGGCTAGCCAAACGGCGAACTCCAAAAGAATTTGCTGTTTTGCCAAACTTGACGGAAACAATGATAAACAAGTTGGTGACATATTTTTTTTGCTGTATGGGCATGTGTAGTATTTCGTAATAAGAAAAAAATCCGGCAACATTGCGAAATGATGGATGTGGAGAGGCGTGATTATTCAGAGGCATGATTCTATTGGTTAGATTCTGAACGACAGCACGCAGTGGCGTGGTTATTGGCGAAACTAGAGAATTTTTTTTCTAATAATTTTATTGGTTTATTTCCTTGGTGTTTCCGGTGCCACTGAACCGAAAGACATGGCTGTCATCAGGCGGTGTCAGTTGAGGTGTCAGTGGATATTTTCAGGTTACGCCCCAGTTTTCTTACCCCTTTCGTCTCTACCAAGTTACCACTTGCCAAACTATAGTTTATTTGAATCTTACTTGGATAATAGGTACCAAAAGGTGAAATTAAATGACATTTCTAGTGAAGTTCAAAAAATGGAGGTAGGCGTACCTCAAGGCACCGTGTTGGGCCCAATTCTGTTCTCGTAGTACGTACAAAGCCTTTTAAAACTGAAAGTTAGCGGTAAAGTAGTATGTTTCGCAGATGATACTGCCCTGTAAATTGCAGGGGATTCATGGCTTGATGCGTGCACGAAAGCAGAGTTGGACTAAATGTACAGTTTGTTAGGAGAGTACATACGCGTCGCACAACTCAACTGACAACGTAAACGTCGTCATTGGTTCAGGTATGACCATAGGTATGACGTACACCCGTTTTCTCACGTCAGAAGACGGGTGTACGTCATACCAGAACCAATGACGACGTTTACGTTGTCAGTTGTGCGTCGCGTACTATCCTAACAACCCGTACCTTTACACAAGATAAAATGCTGACTTGACTCAAATCAACTAACCTTAAATATTGATAAGACCAAATTTATATCGTTCTCCATGACCAAACGGGGCATGTCTCACAAAGATTTCCTAATCTTACACGAGTCTTCATGTAAAATTACTTTAGACTGCAATAGTCAATCAAAAATTCAATCCTGTGACAGCATAAAATACCTATGTATACTTTGACAAATTGACCTTTTGTTTGGACGCCATATTGCGGTGTGCAAACATAGTTGCCAACAGTAGAAGAAAAAAAATTACTAGCTACTGTCAACATTAAAAACAAAAGTTACTGAATAAATTACATTTAAAATTTAAATTTGCCGCCTATTACGAATGTTTTTGAAAAGAAAAGCCATCATATTACCATCTTAACCCATACCACTATCAATCATTTAGTTACTTTTGTTTTTAATGTTGACAGCCCGCTAGTAATTTTTGTTTTCTTCTTTTGGCAACTATGTTCGCGCACCGCAATATGGCATCCAAACAAAAGGTCAATTGACCTTTTGTAAGTAACTAAATGATTGATCCTCGCTATCCTTTTTGTTTGTTTACTTTCTCTCTCTGATTGATGAAAATAAATGGGTAGATATTCTATTATTTCTATTCTGCCCAATACAAGCTAAAATTGATGGCTTTTCTTTTCAAAAACATTCGTAATAGGCGGCAAATTCAAATTTTAAATATAATTTATTCAGTAACTTTTGTTTTTAATGTTGACAGTACGCTAGTAATTTTTTTTTTCTACTTTTGGCAACTATGTTCGCGCATCGTAATATGGCGTCCAAACAAAAGGTCAATTCTTAAAATGGAATGGATGGTTTATAAATTTTCTCAACTTAGATATAGCTTAACTTATCAATTAACAAAAATGGTCTATTATTCTTTGGCTGAGTCTGTTTTGAACTATGCTATTTTATGTTGGGGCTCAGCTTGTGAGTCAGTCCTGTTACCACTGAAAATAGCACAAAAGTATGTACTAAAAATATTATTATTTAAACCTAAGATGTATTCCACTGATCTACTGTTTTCTCAAACCGAATTCTTATACTTGAGGCAACTTTATTGCGTTAGAGTCATACAGTTTTCTCTAAATTATAAATTGTTTCATTTGTAAGCTTCTTATTTGTATTAGAAAAGTAAATAAGGATTTACTTATTATAATTATTATAATTATATTAGAGTGAATGTCAGCTAAGGATACACCCAAATTCTTGAATTCATCGTATTCCTAGCTCTGCATTCTACAAATTGTCAACCAATGTAATGAAACTTAGTATGAATAAACCTAACTTAACCTAATGATCGAGAGTGGGCTTCACAAAAGCAGGTTTTAGAAGTTCAAGAAGGCGATGGGAAACCATTAGCATAAAGAAAAAGACCTAATGCGCCACAAAGAAGTTGAATTATGATATTAATCCTATTAAAATCCTTAAAAAAATTAGTGAAATCATAACAAAAACATTCCATGTATAAAAATGGCCAAGTCCGCGAAAATACTTATCCCCAAAAAGAAGTGAAATCAAAGTCAAGCCAAGTTCTTCAATACGCATTCGAAAATAAAAGGGTGGCTTTATTTATTCTAAAATGTTTCAAACTTGGCGAGTACCTACCTAAAGTCAAAATACCTATTGAAAGAGTTTGTTCTAAATTGGATTTAAATTTAGTTAAATTTCGCGTACTTGGCCATTCTTTTACATGAGATGTTTTTGTCATGATATAATATGTACTCTGTGTCTAAGATAATAGTTGATTTGCTTATAGTTGCCACTATAGTTATTTATGTATCAAGGGTACTGAGTAGATGATTATGTCCTGAGGGCGACAGTCTTACAAAGCCGAGGGCCTCTGGCCCGAGGGTTCGTAAGTCGCCCGAGGGTATATTATCTATTAGTACCCGTGGTGCATACAAACTTTTATGTCATACCAGTTGGTTGTGAATAATAAATACCTAGGAAAAGAGTGTCACTTCGCAAATTGTCATCAGTGTGCAAACATCATAATTTTTTGACAAAAATAATATGTTTATAAGCGTAAATTTATATTTTGTTAATAAAGAATAAGTTAATTGAAAACTGTTTTTTGCGTCTTTATGCCCGCGCGGGCCATAATGTGTACTTTATGCCCGCACGGGCATAAAGTAATGAATTATGTAGATGATATCTAAGGTATAAAAACACAATAATGTATTGGTATGACATAAAATAAATTGTGGATATATGCAGCCACTTTTAAGATTTATAATAATTAAATAATTTAAAGAGGGTCATTACTTTGGAAAACTTTATTTAACTTTATATTATGTAAATACATGAGAAATGAAATAAGTTAATGAACAATAACAATTGAATTTAGAAGAAAGGAACTTTTTGAACCAAGTCCGCGAAAATACTTATCCCCAGAAAGAAGTGAAATCAAAGTCAAGCCAAGTTCTTCAATACGCATTCGAAAATAAAATGGTGGCTTTATTTATTCTAAAATGTTTCACACTTGGCGAGTACCTACAGTCAAAAAGTTCCTTTCTTCTAAATTCAATTGTTATTGTTCATTAACTTATTTCATTTCTCATGTAGGTATTTACATAATATAAAGTTAAATAAAGTTTTCCAAAGTAATGACCCTCTTTAAATTATTTAATTATTATAAATCTTAAAAGTGGCTGCATATATCCACAATTTATTTAGTGGCAACTATAAGCAAATCAACTATTATCTTAGACACAGAGTACATATTATATAATGACAAAAACATCTCATGCCAAGTACGCGAAAATGGCAATACAGCTAAATTTAAATCCAATTTAGAACAATAACTCTTTCAATAGGTATTTTGACTGTAGGTAGGTACTCGCCAAGTTTGAAACATTGTAGAATAAAGCCACCATTTTATTTTCGAATGCGTATTGAAGAACTTGGCTTGACTTTGATTTCACTTCTTTTTGGGGATAAGTATTTTCGCGGACTTGGCCATTTTTTTACATGGAATGTTTTTGTTATGATTTATTTATTTAAACGTCCACCTATATGATTAATGATAACTGATGAAATTCACGTGGTTCAGCAACATAAAACGAAAATAAAATGCTTTCAGCAGAGAACATCGAATGCTCCAGTCGATCCGATCGTTAATTAAATTTGTCAAAACCTTTTCATTCAGGTGTGAAGATCTGTTTGCCGGGAGCGACTCATAAATCACGAGAAACGGCTCTGTGGAATGTGACTTCAAACGCAATTCCAATCGATAGAGCAATTTGAGAATGGAATATGTGCCCCATTAGGATGGCCATTGTGAAGCTATAAATGATCGCACAAATAGGCAATCATTTTTTTTTTCCAGATAATAGGTACAATTATAATTTCCCTGGATAAGTAGCTATAAACTCTGAACAGTGTAGTGTATATCTACATTGTAAAAAGATTTTAATGACTTCATCAGCGGCAAACAAACGATTCGAAAGTAGTTCCTAGAAGAGTCAGCTAGTCGTTAAAGTTTTAAAGCCATTAGAAAACTAGTATCCGTTAGGAAAATGCGCTCTATAAATCAGGATTAAGTGCGCCAAGAAGTGCAGACACGAACGAATAGGTCCCTCCTCGCGCATTTTAATCAAAAGGAATTAAGTATTTAGAGTCTAGTTAGGAAAAATAGAGTAATTAGTTTGATTATGATTTATTATTATTCTTACCAAATCAAATATTTTTGGTCTAGCTTGATTGCCAATAAGTAAAATATCTTTAAAACCTTTATTGGTGACAAAAGCCATTTTTTCGCCTTTTCTTTCTAGAAGGGCATTGGTAGCAACTGTAGTACCCATTCTAATCCAATCTATCATGGTGTTATCGACATTGCCATCTGAGTCAACAGCTTTTCCAGTTTCCTGAAAACGTGAAAAATTAACAAAATATAAGAGCAAAATAAAACGTAGTATTAAAAAAACCTCTTGTAAAATTCTCCTGATTCCCTCCGTAGGAGCATCTTTGTAATGTTGAGGGTCCTCCGAGAGTAGTTTCAGCACTTTTATTTTTCCGCCAGGACATAGAGCAAATACGTCGGTGAAGGTGCCTCCGCGGTCAATTGCAAACTTGAATTTCATTGCCATGTGTGAAATCCTTTAGCAAACTAGAAAAATCAGGATAAGGGATAAAAGTATTTCCTGATGAGTTTCGCTATGAGTTATAAAACAAAGTATGTAGTGCTTATCTCATTTGAATAACATAAAACTCTTTGAGCATCATCTAATAAATTTCATAGAAACGATTTTGTTAATGAGGGTAAGGTCATTTAGAAAGTTAGTAAGTTTGAAAAACAAAACCAAATTATATTTTTCAAAACCTAACGAGCCTTGCTATGGGTTATACACTATACTAGGCCTTCTTTATTCTACGACTCGATAAGTTTTCTGAGTTTTTGAAAAATATCGTGGAAATGATAAGATCCGTTAGTTTTTGGAACCCAATTGATAAAGATAGTTAAGAAAAAGTAAACCTGAAGACGATGAAATGAATTTGCTAAATGAGAGTTGATGATGACGAAGCCAGCAACTGAGAAGAAGAAAAATGCACTTAAATATCAGTAAATCAGGAAGAGGGAAATTATGCAATTTAAATGGATGTTATTAATGGCGTTTCCGATTAGTAGATTTAATGCACCCTGAGTGTATTTGCATCCTTTTAATCGACCTGTAGAGGAAAAAGACAGAAATAGAAAAAATTGTACCAGCTCCGCACTAGATCTACCAATCGGAAACGCCATAAGATTATGAGCTATGGAAGGAACGAATAGTGTGAAGCTGACTGAAGGGATTAAACAAGAACTAGAGAATTTTACAAGAAAATAATACCTACACGTACGTATATTGAAGTACTGTAGGTCAAAAATGGGAAAGTAAATTGCAAATATTTAAAAATGAAAACAATGGACATTTTAAAGCACATATAGGTATTTGTTGTAGAGATAATAGATAATTTGCAAGTCAGAATTCGAGGGGCGTTCCTTTAAATATTTGTAATTAGATTCCATTGATAAAGCCATTGTATGGCATGGCGTAACGCGCTTAGACATGTAAATTTGATATTTCTGTATTTCATTTATCTTGGTGATGAGATGTGTAGGTACCTACATATTATTTATATACATATATAGTCCAAGAGCCGGCAATACTAACGGGTATGTGATCGTTGCAATGGATAATGTCTACATAAAACAATAGTTCATAGTAACCTTTAAACCAAATGGATGGGTGGCCTCGATTCTCATGGCCTTAAAGTTGTTTTATGAAAAGATACTTCAAGAACCATAAGCGCAACAAATAAGAAGTGTTACCTTGCGGTGTAGGGGGTTCTCATCATATGCGGCAAACACTTTATTAACACAATTTCATGTTTCTTAGTTTGTCTAAAGACCTACAGCCGTATGCAAAATCCTCTTCACAGAGTCCTCTTTTAACTCTAAAAGTGACTTTGAAGGCTGTCACTTTCAAAAATTTGTATTTAGCAAGCAAAATAACGCGTGCGCTCGACTTTCAAGGAGGGTTGCCATTATTTCCGGCCATCAAAATCGAGGCCACCCTACATATTATCTGAGAAGACATATTAAAGAATATATCTACCAATTTTCAGCTATTGCAACGATAACATTGTTCCTTCGGAAAAAGAGGGGTAGTTTACGCCCAGCCATCAAAGGGTTGCGGTCATGAGAATCGAGGCCACCTATCCATTTAGTTTAAAGGTAATTATGAGCTATTCTTTTATGTGAAAACTATCCATTGCAACGATCACATACCCGTATATATTGCCGGCTCTCCTACTAATACCAGGGTGTCCGGATATTCGACCGACAACACTTGACAGGTAGGTACAGACGTTGCATTTTCATCAAAATTTTTCTACAAATAGGAAATTCCTAATCTAATTTGATTCGTGTGTCGACAAGCGACATACGTTTTCTTACTAAATCGACAGGTACTTCTAAATAGGCATTAAAAATACTAGGGTGCTTAATTTTCAAGATACAGGGTGTCAAAGTTCTACTTATTTTCGATTTTTGTCAAGTTGTTATTAAAATAAAACGACGCAGGGTATCCGATATCGGAGGGTTGGTTAAGCGAAAGCGAGAAATACTAATTCATTCACGGTTTTGTTGGGGGCGCCATCTACGACAACTTCGATCAAATCGAGTGTAACGTTAGCCAGTTCAGGAGATATAAATGTGGCTACTTTTCCAAAACTAATTTACATTCATTTCATGCTCTGAAATATTTTGTGAAAAAAAGTACCTATCGGAAAAACGGAAATCACTCGATTCCTTCAGACAAACCCAATTTTATTGATTCGGATAACTAACAAAAATGTTACGATTTAAGCTCTCTAAGCTTAAGGCTTTAGCATAGCAAATTATATTGATACAAAAAATCGTGCTTTTTTCCGAGGCTACATAGCACTACTAGCAATTCGTAATTTTTCACAATTTCTGAAGTAGTTAGCCATTGTAGACTGTAGATTGCATTAGGAGTCGTTACTCGTTATAGCTTGTTCCAGCCGCTCAAGCACTGCTACCTTTCTAGATATTTTCTGCGTGACTCTGATGCTCTCTTGTTGGTTTCCAAGATTTGTGAGCTTCTCCCAAAGAAAGCGAGCTTTCTGGGTGGTGAAGTGCCCACATTTTGAGGTGTTTGCCCGGCAAACACCTCAAAATGTGGGCCTACTCCGTATTTCAGCCTTTTGCAGAAGTGAGCAGGGCATTCACAGATTAAATCTTCTCTAGTTTCTGTTGCTTGTTCGCAAGATCTGCAGTGGTCGTTGTCTGACTTACCTATTGCTTTCAGGTGATATTCCACCAGGCAATGCCCGGTTAGCAGACAACGACTCTTCTAATATTTCTTCTGTTCATGTCAAAAAGGTTTTCAGATCTCTTTGCTGAGATGGATATGAACCTTTCTGCTTGTCTCAGACACGGAATGGATTTCCAGTGAGCTAGCATTCGATCCTTTTCCCATCTGCTAATTTCTTTGGAGACGTGGCTTTTCAGAGGTGTTGAAGTGCCTGGCTTTGCGATACAATCCACCTCATCGTTGCCCTCTACGCCCTGGTGTCCTGGCACCCACATCAGGGTTCCTTTGTTCCTCCCATCCAGTTGCTTCAGGATATATTTACCCTCCCAAACTAGCTGAGAATTGCACTTGACGGCTTCTACAGCCTTTACAGCCGCTTAACTGTCGGACAGTATGTGAATATGCTCTCTTAAAACGCCTATTTTAAGGCACTCTTGGGTATAGATGTTTGTGGCTAGTACCTCACCTTGAAATATTGTGGGCGTTTTTCCCAATGCTAACGAGAGTTTGAAGTTTGGTCCAGTTTATAGAATGTCAAAATTCATTGATATGTTATCATATGATCTGTTAGTTTACTTTGGCACTCGACTTTTGTAGCTGAAGGATGCGTAAATGGCCATTCAGATAACCAGGTTTGAGTCTTTTTGTCTGGAACAGTCTATAGGCTATTCTTGCCACACTTTTCACATATAGGTGAAGAAGAGGCATGCTCAGCGGTGCCTCTAAGGCTGCGCAGGTTGACATAACCCCTGTTATTCCTAGACAGATTAGCCTTTGTACTTTACGTAGACTGTTCTGTGCAGTAACTTGCTTGGTGTAGGTGTCAATAGGTCTGACAACCATTTGGTATATCCAATGTACCATTTTTGGTCTTCCCCTATGTTTTTCATATGAGTTTGCGGCATGTCCAAATGGCAGTCGTAGCTCGTGATATTGTTTTATTCAGATGGTTGTTCCAAGTAAGTTTGCGGTCCAAGGTGACCCCTAAATACTTAACTTCATCTGAAAGAGATAATTGAGTGCCGTTTAGAGTCGGGGCTCGTAGATCCAATTTCCTTCTTTTCGTACACGGAACTATATTCAAGGCAGCTTGCATTCGGTCTTCATGCTTGCCTCTGATTATTACCGCCAGATCATCTACGTAGCCTATAACAGTTATTCCAGCGTTATTTGCTTAGTCTGGTACGGATGCTGTCTAACACTGATATCCACAGGAGAGGTGAAAGGACTTCACCTTTGTGGACAGACTTTAACCGTGGTGACAGTAACTGTTTCGCCGTTCAAGTCCGCCGATACCGAGAGATGTTTCAGCATGGCTTCTGCCCATCCTAGAATGGGAGCTTCTCATCCTAGAATGGGAGCTTCTCCTCAAGAGTTTTCAGGATAAATTGGTGTGAAGTGTCATCGAAGGCACCCTCTAAGGCTGCAAGAGCGATTTATTTTACCTCATGGAAGTTCGGCTAATGGGTCGATATGATTTTGGTTTATCATCTGGCCGAAGTCCTGCCTTTGGTATAAATAGCACGCCATCCTGACTCCAGGCTAGAGGAATGAGGCTAATATTTGAATTTTCGGCTAAGCGCTGTCTATCGCCCTATTTTTCGTGAATATTCTTCCTGCCAGCCTCTGGCCTCTTCTATTGGGACAATCAAGTCCTTTGCTATGGGAGCCAGGCTGGTCCTGAGAATTTTCCGGAAAGTTAGTCTTTAGCTAGTAAGACCTCGACTCTCTTCGTGGTTGTTTGAGCTAGTCTCTGTTTTTAAGCAGACGCGAATGTCATACGAGTGGTTTTTTGACAGGACTTTTTGTAGACGTTGTGCTGGGGCTAATTCATTTATTCCTTCACAGAACTGGCTACAATTTCTCCTTTTGGATGTTCTTGAGGCTATGTTATTGCTTTTGGTTAGGGCTGTCCTGTAGTTTTCTCAGTCTCCATCAGTAGTTTTAGCCTTATTATAGGTAAGACTTTCTGGCCTTTGCTTTTAGCTGGAGTCCTTTTTGTTTTACGGAGCAGCTTCTAACAAATGTGATATTGATTGCATTGATTGGATGATTTGAGGCTACCCCTAGTTCCTCCTCTGTCTCAATGGTAGGTATTTGTCAGTTCTTCTAAGCTCATGCTGATAGTTTCCCTACAGAAATCCAAATTTGTGAGCCTTGGAATTCTTCTTCCTTCTGTTTTTCTGACTAGTACCTATCTTCAAGTCGAACCTAATTTGAAGTAGCCATGCAAAAAAAAAATTACTTAGGTACCTATAAAGTTAAGAAAAATTAAGAAAATTACAAAATG